GTTGATCAACTCGTACGCAGATGATACCACGTTATATTCATGTAAAAATGTCCATTTTCCCTCTTGATTATTTTAACAACCGTAATATTTAGCCAAGTTTTATGAATCATTTTGCAAAAGTCTCCTTTCTGGTAGAAATCAGTAAAGATTTTTGGTGCTTTTGAAATGAAAATAAAAATGTTATAGCCAAAGATTTGTATTTTGTTTAATATTGCTCATTTTGAGAAGAATGTTTTTCATCTGTTTTGCTGTTAAACGTAAACATTATATCAAAAAGTAATTACCAACAATTTGCAGAAAGTCTGCATCAACCTCTGAAACCTGCTGGCCAAAATGATACCATTCTTAAACTGTGGGCCGCACTAAATCACTGCAAGGGCCACAATGGCCCTCGGGCCACACTTTGGACACCCGTGATGTAAGGGTATGACTCTGATGGAAAGATCAACCCTTCTGATTGATGTACGTTTCAAAATACTTGTTTTTTTAAAACAGAAAAAAATGATACCAACAATTTCCCAGCCCAGAGGACTTCATTGAGAAGAAGGATGCACAAAAACACCAAGAAAACTGATCAAATTACACTAAAAATACAGATTTGAACATACGTTACATTTTATTTTACACGTACTTTCATCTGATAAAAACAAACCTGTCTTTCTTTGAGCAATCTGGACATAAATAATGTTATTTTCTCAGTAATGTCAGTAATTACTACAAGTAATAGCTTTAGGAACATCATGACTAATTTTTTCATTATTGTGAGAATGTTTTTAAATCAGTCACACTGTTGAGATCCGTTTTTTCCTTCGTACGTTTTTCAACATGCAACTTGTTCCTCGGTTTTGTGCTACCGTATTTTCCAGATTATAAGGCGCATTAAGCAAAACAAAACAGATAAGTCAAACTTTATTCAGCTCATTCACAATAACCACATAAAATTAATTCAAGGTCAATAAGTATAACCAGAATTAATACATAAGGCTCACTGTCGATTTTTGAGAAAATTAAAGGATTTTAAATGCGCCTCATAGGCGATATGACTACTCATATCGAAACATTCAGCTCATTCAGGACTTTCCTGCTGGGACTTTTGGTATTTGTGAATGTTTTACTTTTTGAAATAGTTATCTTTTTCAGACATGTTTTTTCCATTGAAAATGAACCTCTTTACCTCCTTCAAAGCTTTGTGCTGTTTAAACCATTTTACTGCTCATTTCAGCTTTTGTTCTTGAAGGATTCCAGAGTTTTTTCTGCTGCTCACTCTCTCCACAGCCAATCAACCACTGATTCACTCCACCTGCTGCAGACTGAGGAGGCCTGATCTGGTGTGTACAAACAGCTGGGACCTTGATTCATGGACACTCATCTGATTCTTATTGCAATTGGTTCTTACCGTTTGTGATGTTCGTCAGGGACTCCCATGTCCTGCTCACCTGAGTCTTTTCAAAGATCTCCTTTCTCCTTCGTGGCACACCTGTGGATCAGCGGTGTCCCATCAGCTACAAACAATTCAGCTCGTGTCGATCTGCTCCTCTCCACCGATAATCACCTCCTGGACCATCTGAAAACCCAGGGCCTCGCTTGTCCCTCGCTGGCCTCATCTACAAACGCAAACAGTAAGACATCATCTACTGATTTCTAAGATCATCTGCAAACATCATGGGGAGCTCGATTACTCACCTTCTTCTAGTTTCCCTTTCAGCACCAAAGCCACGGCTGCACCTGTAAATAAAGATCACATTATGTTTGTACACCTGACTCTCATTCTTCTCAGTCTGCTTACTTGGGATTGACAATTAACATGATCTGTTTTGTTGTTGGTTTTTTCAGCTTTCTGCTTATGTCATCTTTTTTTTCCTGCTCCTTTCAGCTGCTTTCTGCTAAATTTCAGCTTTTCATTGTATGCAAATTTTAGCCATTTTTCTTTTGTGCTAATTTCTGTTTTTTGTAATCCTTCAGAATAATTTAACTCCCCCCAGCCTCTGATTTCTATTTTTGCTTTTTCAGCAACTTTGTGTGTTTTTTTTTTTTTTTTTTTTAATCTATTCAGCCTCTCTTCCCACTTCAGTTTTTTTATTTTCCGGTACATTTTCGCTCCAGTTTTTTTTTTTTCTAGATATTTCGCCACTGCTTTTATTTTCCTGCTTTCAGCAAATGTCAGCTGTTCAAATTCAGCTCATATTTACAGTTCAGCAATAAAAACCTCTTCAGCTCAAAATATTCAGCAAAACCCATTTTCCCGGGTAGTTCCAACTCTCTAGTCTTTAAGTATCTAATGTTGACTTAAATGACGGGGACAGTTAACAGAGGTGAATCTGCTTTGAGCTGAACGGTAACTTTTTAGTAAATATTTAAAGCTGCACTAATCAATACTTCTAAATAAGCAGAGGGCTGATTTATTGCCTTCATCTGAAAGAGGCTGCTTGTATTGACGATCCCAGAGTTAATTAGGACTCCTTTAATTCACTCTCCAGAGCTACTTCAACTATTTGTACTCCGCTAATTGTCCTTTTTTCATGTTTCCACTGAAAAGGCTCTTGTCATCTCAGCACTACCTGTCCAGAACATACAGGCGTGCAGTAGTATTTTTAACATGTTGCATGTATGTTAAAATCACGCAGAATAGGATTTTACGCTGCCAAGTTTCTCAAAACACCATGAACGACTGAACTTTCATCTGTTTCAACCGATTATTACGCCATTGTCACGAGATGACCCAAAAGTGACGTGGAAGCAACCAACGTCAGGATTTGTTTTCTGCGGTCATTTTTTCTGTTCCTTTCCTCACCTGTGCTCCCATTATCAGACACTTCTTCCTCCGTTTGTTTCTGCTCAGTCAGTCCAGTGACGCCTGTTTCATCAGTCACAGCTGCATCCTCTCCTCTCATCAGCACCAGTCCTTATCGTCTCAGTTTTCACTCCATCTTCAGTCTGGCACTGTGTGCTTATGCCATGTCCTGTTCTCCTCGGTGTCTCCTTGAGTTTGTTTGTTGCTGCCACGTCAGCCTTTAGTTCAGCTTCAGTTTTGTCTGCATGCTCCGACCTTTAAGCTGAAACAAATCGACAACCATTCTTTGAAGGGCTGCACATTGCTCACTGTCTTGCATGACCATGTTTTAAATATATATCTCGCAGGAGCTGTTAGTGCTCAGAGAATGTGTTACAGACGACTCTCAGCTACTTTCACACTATTTTTTTTCTTTTTCAAAATCTGTAAAATTGTTGTTATATGTAGATTAGCACAAGGTCAACAATGAAATGAAACGTTCAGGATGAGAACGGATATGACTCTCTAAGAAACATAAACAAGAAGTACTAAATCAAGCAATAAAGGTACAAAATAAAGTACCAAAAAGTGGAAACAAATATATTTACAAGGTCCAAAACAAATGCAGTAAACAACATGATAGAATATAACTGTGCAAGTAGGATGAATTAGTAATATTAACTGAAGCTGACTGAGTTACAGCCAATTTTGTGTTTGCCAATGTTTATTTCATAAACATGAATAAATGGATGGATGGATGGCAGATGACAGTAGCACCACCGGGGGGGGGGGGGGGGGGGAGCAATAACCTTCCTTAAAACTTGATAATCCACCCCCACCCCCCACGCTGTCCCCCCTTGGCCAGACCGTTTTCGTCTCTTGAGTCCTAAACTTTAGTTTAGTGTGCATTTTAAATTTCTCCTAGCTGTTTAGGATTCATAGAAACAAAACCAAATGTATAACCCCCCCCCCCCCCCCCCCCCCCAATAAATGAATAAATAAACCGGTGGGGTTTAGGAGAGAACAAGGTTCAGCAAGAAGCGTTTGTTTATAAATTTAGGAAATTTCAACTTCTTTGTTTGTTTCCAGCTGCTCCAGGGGTCAGGGGTCAGGGGCCACCGCAGCAAGATAACGCATGAAGATTTAAAAATTTGCACCGGGCGTTCTTTAATGCAACTTCAGACCACCGAGCTTCCGTGGCCCACATGTGTGTAGCAAAGGGCTGCCATCTAGGGTGCCCGGGGGGGTTAAGGGCCTTGCTCAAGGGCCTAGAGGGTGTAGGCAGGCGCAGGTGCTTCACCTTTCACCACCAACATGTTGATGTAACGGTCAGCTGGCTTTGAACCAACGAGCTCTCGACCACAGGCTCGCCTTCTCTAACCTCTGCACCACCACTCAGTAATTTCAGCTACAAGTAAAAACAATAAAGTGAGCAGACCTGTGTGTGAGAAGGTGTCCTGCTTGATGTTAAAAAACCTACACATAACAACAATGTGACAAATCTGAAAATGTGAAACTTGAAACCTGCCAGTCCAGGGTTTTAGGTGGTGCCCAATGGAGGCGCCGCTGATGGATCATCAGAATTAAACTTTTTTTATTTTTCTAACTGTGGTCATTCAAACACTTTATCTACAACCTCTGTCGAAAAACCCACTTGGACTAAGTCACAAAAATTGAACTAATGTTTTAACTTCTATATTCAATATATATTGGGCTTTTAAAAATCACAGCTCGTATAAGGAAATGTGTTCAGTGTTGTGCTTCCCATAGTGTTCTATATTACTATATTCATCATAAAGACATGTATGTTGCAAAATACCGGGGATGTTCTCACTTTGCACTAATAAAGATCCAGAGTTCATGTTTAAATCTGACTCTTTGTCTTATTTTAACTTTTTCCCTCAGACGCATTCAGCCAGCAGCTGTTTTGTTAACAAGGCTGAGCTCTTCAGAGTGCAGGATGTCCCACACGGCTCATGTGATCACTAATGAGCTGGATTTGGTGGATTCACGGCTGGGACGGCCCGGCCCGTTCTGCTCTGCGCCTGGTTGGACCATCAGGAGTTTGACAAGTTTGCAAAATCCGCCCCATCGTGAGGATACGCCTCCTTTCAGCTACATGAGTAAAATGTGCAGAGGAGGAAAGAGTTTTCAGAAGTTCTTCACGTCAGCTGTTTTTCTCACCTCAAACGAGCCGATTACACGAGGAGACTGAGCGTTCATGACATAAATGGCTGAAGAATTATTGGTGGAGAATGCTACAAAACTCAGGGGGGTGAGTTTATGGTTTTTATGCTTGGAGTTAAACAAGCTGTGTTTGTTAATGAAATAAAAGTGTAATTGCGTTCTTTCACATGAAAAATGACACGTTTCAAACTTTTTTCCTCCATAATATCTAAAGAAAATCTGCCATAAGTCCAAAAAAGGACCAAAACACAAGTTTTAAACGTGAGGTTTGGTTAAACACATAAAATGTACACATCTGACTTGACTAACTCATCTTTTTCTTCACTTGGATATGTTCTCATCCCTTCCTCCCTCCATAAAGTTATTACCAACCAAATTAGATTTCTCTGAGAAACTGTGGAGTTATTGTTCAGTCGGCCCTCTTCGTGGGGTCATTGCATGTGTGTTTGCGCTGCAACCAGTTCTCTTAGTGTTTCATCTTAAAGCAGCGACATCTAGAAAAGTTATACAGATTTTTACCTCCGAGGTCGGATGAACTGGGCGTGTGGAGTTCAGAACTAACGTGAAGAAAGGAGGACATCAAGTCTTGTGTTAGGGAATGTTTCATGTGACTGCTGAGTCTCTGGGTGGCCAAAAGTGTTGATTTATTTCCAGCACATTTCTCCTGGATGAAGCTTCAAAGCTACTTTAGCATATAAATCAAACACATTTACTATTTAAGCTGGAAACTGATGTCTCATTAAAGAATGTGTGATACACTGTTTGCACTTTGTTTAACCTAATGTGTTGCTCTCACGTCCGTCTCTCCTCAGCATCTCACAGGGTCGCTGCTGGCGGTGGCGTTCCTGGCCTCGTTTGGCAGCTCCTTGCTCTACGGCTACAACCTGGCAGTCGTCAACTCGCCTGCAGAGGTTTGTGGAGTTTATTAAAATGTGTTAGCAGTTGAACTCGAAGCACCAACCGTCCCTGCGCTGCAGCACGGAGTCATGTGTCTGTGCATCAGCTTCCTCCGTGTCATTGATGTTCTTCAGTTTTTAATCCATCATGTGTTCTGTTCTGTTCGGTTGAGCTTGCTGTGGTGCAGTTAATAAGCCGAGACACATTCCTGGTTTGACATGGACAGCCTGACACTAAGACATGAACGATTTAACCTGCTTCATTTGGAAAGTGGTGGTGCTCGGTGCTTTAAGATCCCTCAGGACATAGTGCGGTGCTTTTATTGCCTTTCTACGCTGAAGGACAGCTGACACGCAGAGCCTGGTAGGCTATCTGTACGGAAAACCACTTTGAGGGAATTTCATTGATTGGAAGAGATTGTCCTTGATGATTTTTTGCAGGTCAAGTCTACTAACAAAAAATATATGTTCAAATAAAGATCACTGAAAATTTACTTTGGCTACGTTGTGTTTCAGCTTTCTTGATTCATAGAGAGCAAGATATAAGATATGAGCAGCTCAAATGAGCTTCCTCTGTAGGATAGCTATAGGCTTAGCCTCCGTCTGAGGCCTTCTAACTGCCTTGATGCGCTTTACGAATGGGCTGAGGTGGTGAGACGAGTCGAAGCAAACCTACCACTGTTGCATCTTTGTGCCACAAAGTGAGGTAGTAACAGAGCCAAAACGATTCCATCTGTGATTTCCGAACAGCCAACGGAAGGTTAAAGATGAACTGGTCTGTGCAGTCATTTTGTAGAACTGTCTTATGAAAGAGTCTTTAGAGAGAGTGTGATGAGCTCCACCCTTGGAGGAAGTGCAAAGTTGAGCTGCTACTCCGCCACATCAAAAGGAGTCCTGCTGAGGTGGTTTGGGCATCTGATTAGGATTTTTAGCCAAATCTCCCTGAAGCAGACTTAGAACTTCCCAGAGGGGTTATAGGTCTTCTCTGCTTGTATGCATGTATGTATGTATATATGTATGCATGTACGTAAGTATGTATGAATGCATGTATGTAGGCATGTGGGTAGGTAAATGGACTGTACTCGTATAGCGCCTTTTTTATCTTATCAAGACACTCGGCTCTTTACATACAATCTGTGCCTCATTTACACATTCATACAGCACTCTACTAGATCTGTACAAAGCTAATTGAACAAATCATTCTAAAGAGAATAATCAGTGCTTTATCACATTCATACACTGATGGGACACACATCAGGGGCAATGAGGGGTTCAGTGTGTCTTGGCCAGGGACACTTTGGCATGTAACTGCTAGTGGATTCAAACCCCAAAACTCTTGCATTGGATGACGACTGCTCTAACCACTCATCCACAGCCGCCCCAACGTATGTTTGTATGTACATAAGTATGCATATATGCATGTGCCCATATCCAATTACTTCTGTTCATCGGAACCAAAGAGGCAAAGTAGAACTCTTCTGTGCTGAAGCCGAGTGATGCATTCAAAGTGTGTCGGATGTCTCCCTCGTGTAATTTACTATAATGAATCAACTGTTTGGCGATCCTCTTTGTGGTTAACTACTTTTATAAGCTAACTTAAAAGTTGCTGTGTGTCATCTCGATCTTCTCTCTGTAATAAATCTGTTTGTATTAAAGTAAAGATGTGTGTAATGTGTGAGAGTCACGTCCCAGAGAACGGTGATCATGCTGGGTAGGAATTGTGTGTGCAATGTTTCTGACTGTTTATGATGTTTCTGAGAGTGAAATGTCCTGTTAGTTTCCTGTTCTGGTTTGGTTTGGCATTTACTGGTATGTTAAAGTATCTGTTATTGACTGACACCATGAGTCAGAGACTGTTTGCAGTAGATATGAGGCTCCTTAGATAAATAACATTATTAAATGACTTGATATGCATGTGGATGTTTCTGTGTAGTGCCTTGAGATGACTTCTGTTGTGATTTGGCACTATATAAACAAACTGAACTCAATATGAATGGGGCCGGGGCGGGACTGTTTAAAAATAATTTACAGGATTTAAATTAAGCTGAAGTTATTTCCACTAAAGGTATTCAAAGTTAGCAGAAACCCTAATCCGCTAAATGGAACTTTGTTCCACTCTATGTATTTTTTTAACAAAGCAGTGATTTAGAATGATCAGTGCCCAGGTTATCTTGTATCTGTGGACAATGTTAAAATAAAAAATGGTCTCTTCCACCAGTTCATCAAAGCGTTCTACAATGAGACACTGATTCATCATCATAAGTGGGCTCCAGGTAAACATTTTCTGACTGTCTTATACTCCCTCACCGTGTCCGTCTTTGCCATCGGTGGGATGATCGGTGCCTTACTGGTTGGCAAACTTGCCACCAAATATGGAAGGTTAGTGTTTGAGTTCTGTAAGCCCTCTCAGTGACAAAGCTTTTACCTTTGTGTTTAGAAACAGCCAAATCTTTGAGAAAAGACAAGTGAAGACTGTTCGTGTGCTCACACAGAAAAGGGACACTTGTTCGATCCACCATACTGGTGTTTGTTGGAGGATCTTTAATGGGCTTCAGTAGATGGTGCAGGAATCCTATAATGGTCGTCGCAGGACGCTTCATCATCGGAGTACACTCAGGTAGGACCACCTGGTGCCAAAAACTGTTTAGAAGTTTTCTCCTTATCTTTATTTTATTTTACCAGATTAAATTTGTTCTTAACTGGAGAAACATTATATCTTGAATAGTAAACGTCAGGTTTTCAGACCATTTACAGCTTTTTAAATGTTAAACTTTTGTTTAGATGATATTAGGTCTTGACTGGAGTCCATCTGTGCTAAATTAAAATCATTTGATGTAACTACAAAGACGTGCAGATGTCACTTTACAGTATAAATAATATATATGGATGGATGGATAGATGGATGGACAGATAGATGGATAGCGTCAAAATGCCAGGCTTTGTCTTTAAATTTTATTCTTATTCTTTTTTTGTTTTAAATTTTTTGAAATGGGTCTTAATACTATTTCAAGATTTTGGAAGGTCTTTTATAATTGGACATTTTCTATCTTTTCATTTCAGTCTAGTCTCATCATGTTTTAATGTTATTTTGGATTTTATGCAGCTTAGCTCTGAAATATGACTCATTCAGGCATTAAAAAAAGCTTCTAAATTTGACACATAAACCAGAGTTGAGTTGTTACAAAACAGACAACAAATCAAAACAAAAACTTTTAAATTTGGCTTTTAGGCACTTTACCAGCAGCTTTTCTCAAACATACAATTCATTATAGTTCTCATAATTCTATAAAGAATATCAAATCTAACCCAATTTGACACAATATTTTAGCACCAACATGGCGATTTTCAGAGAGCTTTAATTTGAAAACTCGTAAACAATCAACTGAAGGATGTTTTGCAGAATTTTTTTTTTTTTTTTTAGAAAATAGATTGAGGATTTTTCTTTTTTCTATTTCTTAAAGATGTTATACTTTTCAACTGCTGCAGAATATACGTGACCAAATACAAGCACCGAATGACTGAATGAATGAAAAGCAGCCAAAGTTCAAAGAAGCCTTCGAAAGACCATGAGAAAGCCTGAAGAGGTTCTGCTGCATAGAACTTTTTGTCAACGTAAAACTTTAAAATCCAAGAGTTGTTGATAGAAATGCAAGGCAGAATTGCGCAACAATAAAGATCCCAGAAAGTAAAGTTTTGCTTAATTTAAAGTATTCTCAAATGAAATGAATTTGGAGCCATAATCAGCCAAATTCAGGTAAAAAAAAAAACACCCAAAAAAAAAAACAAGGACCACTAAATCAATGATCACGATGAAGGAAATTCAGAGTTCATTTGTGGCTGTAATTTTTTTCCCAAAAAAAAAACAAAAGTCACACACTGTCATCAGATAGAAGCCGTTTCTCCTCGAAGGCCACATGAACGCTTTTAATTATTTGCCAAATGCACCAAAATGTCTTTAACCCAAATCTGTTAATCTGATTAAACAGTCAGCATCACGGCTACTATCTTTAACTGAATCACATGACTCTAATTAAACGTCTTCAATGGTCATTGAGAAAAAATTAGTTTTTATGTACAAAAATAAATACAATTTACTTCATAAAGTTAAGTTTTATTTATATTCTGTTTATATTGATAATAATTTTTATAAATTTAGATCGTTCAAATGAATTTATTTGGGACAAAGTACCACACAAAGTTGGAGAAAATACTTGATGAGGCCTCTAGAGGTCATTGAAACGATGAAGAGTACGGCTGAGATACTCAGTGGTGTTTCCCTCCTTTTCTTCAGGGATTTCCCTCAGTGTGGTGCCCATGTACCTCGGAGAGATCGCTCCCAAGAACCTGCGAGGCTTTCTGGGTCTTGTTCCCAGTATCCACATTTGTCTTGGAGTCTTCATCGCTCAGGTCCTGGGGCTCTCAGAACTGCTGGGAAAGGTATGAACTTTGCAAAAGATGCCCTAATTAATTCAGCTGCAATGTTTCTCGAAATGTTTGGGGCTCGGAGTAGAGCCGCTGCTCCTCCGCATGGAAAGGATTCAGTTGAGGTGTTTCAGGCATCTGATTAGGATGCCTACTGGACGGCTTCCTTTGGAGATTCTCCAGGCACGTTCTGGAAGACACCTCAGGGTGGACCCAGATCTCACTGGAAGGATTATTTATCCTCGGTGGTCTGGGAATGCCTCAGAGTCCCCCAGCAGGAGCTGGAAAGTGTTGCTGGGTTTTTCTCAAGGACATGTTACCTCCAAAATGAGTGTTGCACTGATGTTTTTTTTTCTGCTCTGTTACATTATGTTCAGTTATGGAGCCGATGTACAAAACGGAGACGACGAAGGATAAAATGTGTCTGCAGCTTTGTTGAGAGTTTACTACAGTTTCATGAGTGTTTATATTCTTCTACAGGAAGAATATTGGCCTCTGCTCTTCTCTTTTGTGATGCTTCCAACAATGATCCAGTTGATGCTGTTGCCATGGTTTCCAGAGAGTCCACGATACTTGCTAATGGAAAAAGGAAATATGTACGCCACCATCACAGGTTAGATCATTATTATTATAAATGAATTTCCTGCTAAAGTTAATGATTGAACATCTTAACCTCAGTTTGGATCCTCAGTGGACTGTTTGGCTCTCGCAGGTATTTTGATTGCTGCTGATGTAGAAATTGGTGTTTCGTTTTGTTCTCTAGCCCTGAAACGGTTCCGTAAAAAAGGGAACATCCAAGCGGAGGTGGAGGAGATGCAGGAGGAGCAGCGCTCCCTGTCCTGCATCGAGACTCTCTCCGTCTGGGCTCTGCTCACAGACAGACGTGTCCGCTGGCAGGTCCTCACCATTGTGGTGGTCAACATCGGCATGCAGCTGTCTGGTATCGATGCGGTGAGAACCACGAGACGCCTTTTTTTTTTTTTTTTTTGAATTTGCAACAACTGCACTTAATATGAAACGGGGAGCTCATGATGCTGCAGAACCCCGCTGTGCTCCTCTTATCTGACCATACATCACACACTCGCGCAGTACAGCCGCTGAACGACGGAGCCGAGGGCGGCACGATCACGCCTCATTGTGCCTCTCGGTGTAACCTCGCCTAACAAGCTCCATCAGATCATAAAGTCAGGTGCATCTCTGTGCTCGTTGCTTCATGTGGATGGAAGCTCCAATCACGCTGGTTTGTATTGCTTCCCAGCAGGGGTTCCACCAGTTGGCTCTCTTGGTCCTAACTGGTCCAGAAAGAAACACCGGAGAGCAACGTATAGATAAATTCACATGGTCAAAACTGCACATACAAAAATGGCAAGATGATGAAAAAATACACATTTAAGTTAACAATGGACCCCTTTTTATCTTCTATAATTCACCTCTTGGTTTTTGGGCTCACAACGACTTCATGAAAACAAAACCCTATATTAATGTATTGTTTTGTTTTTTGTTTACAGCTGACCAAATATGAGAACTCTATAATTTATAGCATCCATTGTAACAGTCGACCGTGTCAGTGTCCCTGATTTTCAACTTGATAGCCATCCATTATCTTTTACCCACTTCTTCCTTTTTGGGTCACGGGGGTCACTGGTGCCCATATCCAGCAGTCACTGTGCGAGAGGCAGTCGCAAGACCAACACAGGGACACAGAGACAAACAAACAACCATTCACTCTCTCACTCGCACCTAGGGACAATTTAGAGTTACCAATCAGCCTAACATGCATGTTTTTGTTCTGTGGGAGGAAACTGGAGTACATGGTAAAAACCCACCATGCGCAAAGAGAACATGCAAACTCCAACAGTAAAGATCCCCGGCCGGGATTCAATCTGGCAACCTTCTCGCTGAGAGGCAACAACTCTACATATGTACAAATTGTAAAAAAAAACGTATACATCGTTTCCTACTTCTGACTCTTATTTCACTTTAAAATGTGCAAGTAAACAGTAGGAGTTTCAACCTGCAACGAAGGCCCCCGCAGTATTGAAGTTTGTGAAGTGGAGGACAACAAACGGTGGACACATCTGCAAATACAAATCTGTGTTGATAAAAACACAACAAAACTATTTACTTTATACTATTCAACTGTTTAAAGATAAACAATTGCATTTAGTTTTTTTTTGTTTTTTTTTTACCTAAAGGATACTTACTGGGTGCGTACCAAGTACTTATCAGGGACATACCTGGTACTTTCAGGGCATACATTAGTATGTACTTACCAGGTAAACACCAAGGCAAGTGCTTGGTACGTATCCTGTAAGTACTAGATATATACTAAGAAAGTACCTGGTAAGTATCAGTTATATAATGAATAAGTACCTGGTATGTACCCGATTCATGTACCAGGTATCTACCAAGTAAGCACCAGGTAAAAACACAGTAATTTCTAGGTATGTACCTGGTAAGTACCAGGTTATGTACCAAGAAAGTACCAGTTATATAGCAAGTACCAGGTAGATGTCAGATATGTACCAGGTATGTAAGTTAGTACCAAGTACCTACTTGGTACATAACAGTGAAGTACCAAGTATGTCAAGAGTCAAGAGTTCTATTATCATTCCAGAACATACATGAGGAGGAATGAAACACAGTTCCTGAGGTTTAGTTATTTCAGCATTTAAGTATATAAGAAAATAAAAACTAGGTAATAAATTTAAGTCATACTAATAATAAATAAGTACAAAGTACAAGTAACCCCTCCCCCTCTTGCATACACATATGCTCAGTTGAACTTGAGAGCAGCAGTAAATTAAAGCAGGTATGATTGTCAAACTAAGTATCATAAAAGATAATTATGGATATAAAGTATTGAGCACATCAAAGTTGTACACAAGGTTACTTATGTACTTATTTTAACCTGATATGTCACAAGTAAATACCCTTTAAGTACCAGGTATGTACTTGGCATAAACCATAGAAGTACCAGGTATTACCTGCTACATACTGTGATGTATTATGAATAGCAAGCTTTGTTTTACTTAAAGTATTTTTAACAATCAGAAGACACCCGAGTACAATATAAAAGCAAACATGTTTTGTAGAATAATTTCTATCCAGAAGTCATTAACATATTTTATAACCACTTCCTGTTTGACTTTAAACTGGCCATTCTAAGCATGTTTTAAATATAAGTACTTGGGTTTGTTTCAGGTTTGTGTACTCACAATGTTGATGAAACGCAACACGTTTGCTTACTAAATCAACAAGACAGCGCTGAACTTCTCCGCACCTCATCAATGATGGATGTTGCATCAGCAAAGTGTGATTGATGAGAACACGCAAATTAATTTCAAGGGGAGCACTTGTCAGCGATCCAGTTCTCGTGAAAGCGCCGTTTCTCAAACGCATAAGCGATGGTCGGCCTGATGAAAATAATCACTATGATGAATCATGTGGACGCTCTAAATAAGCTGAGCCGCCTTATGGCTCCGTCATATACCAGATATTTGCAGTGTTCTTGTCTGTTTGTGGTTCGTCAACAATAAATGTTCGTCTCGAATTTCAGATCTGGTTCTACACAAATGAAATATTTAGGAACGCAGGGATCCCAGAGCCTCGCATCCAGTACACAACTGTGGGAACTGGTGCCATCGAGGTCATCGCAGGGATGATCGGGGTGAGCAAGCATTCTTCTAATCATTTAAATAAAAAAATAAATGAGTTCTATTCGATTGTAAGTCGTGAAATCTGTGAAGAATAACAGTGAAACTCCATTTACTGGGTTGAGGCATTTTTTTAGGATAAATTAGCTGTTTTAAATGGACTCAGTGCAATTTCATGACAAGTGGTCAGAAAATGTTTCATAAAGAAACAAAATCCATCCATCCATCCATCCTCTTCCATTTGTTCAGAAGTCAGGTCGCGGGGGCAGCAGCTTGAGCAGGGAGTTCCAGACATCTCTTTCCACAGCCGCCTCTTCCAGATCTTCTGGGAGGACTCCAAGCTGTTCCCAGACCAACCGAGATACATAGTCTCTCCAGCGTGTCCTGAGTCTTCCCCGGGGTCTCCTCCCAGTCAGACATGCCCGAAACACCTCCCTAGGTAGGCTTCCAGGGAGCATCCTTACCAGATGCCTGAACCACCTCAACTGGCTGCTTTCCATGTAGAGGAGCAGCGGTTCTACTCCGAGTCTCGCCCGGATTCTCTCCTGGTTTTACTCTTCTGTCAACTTCAATGCTGCTCGAACTGCAATGTGTACCCTCACAAATCTTATATCAAAACGACCGGTTCGGCACAGTGATGAGTGCTATTACTTTAATTGGCATTTCAAGTTACCGTGGCGACGTAATTTGCAAACAAAGACGCCGTTTTCCTCATTGTAAAACACAGACGGAGCTAACAGCGTCTAACTGCCACCGTGCGGTCACATGACGTATAATGCAGAGATCTCTGAACAAAAGTCAGCAGTCCCCGTCAAAGTTTCTCCAGGAACTTTCTAGTTGAACTTCTCAACCTATCTCAGCTGGGGCGGCTGTGGCTGAGTGGTTAGTGATCGTCCTCCAATGGGAGAGTTGGGAGTTCGATTCCACCATAAGATCACATGTTGAAGTGTTCCTGAGCAAGACGCTGAACCCCTCACTGCCTCCAATGTGTGTCCCATGAATGTGAGCTAAAACACTGATTAGTCTCTACAGATTCAGCTTAGCTTTGTAGAGATCTAGTAGAGTGAAGTATGAATGTGTGTGTGGAGGTAAATGAGGGCACAGATTGTGTTGTAGAGTGATTTGGGTATCTTGATTAGATATAAAGTGCTATATAAGTAGTCCATTTATCATTTACCATCTCTAAGGAAGAGTCCAGCTGTGGAGGAAACATTTCAACCACCTGTATCCTCGTGACCGTAGATCAGGGTAGGAACATAGACTGACAGGTAAACAGCTGAGCCTTACAGCTCAGCTCCATCTTCACCACAACGGACCGGCACAGAGTCCGCAGTACTGCAGACGCTGCACCAGTCCGTCTGTCGATCTCCTGCTCCGTTCTTCCCTCACTTGTAAACAAAACTCAGAGATTCTTGCACTCGTCCGCCCGAACCCTCGACCCGAACCCAAAACAAAATCCATCCGATTTTAAAGTCATATCAGTGGTTAATAAGTCCTTAAATGACAAATTCATCAGCAAAATCTGTGACCAGCTGCCAACCCCCACATGCTTTTGTTTACCTACGGAAACAGCCGAAGTGACTGAAAATAAATCAACATTAGGAGGTCTCTGGAAGAGCTGTTCAGGATTGGGAAGTGTAACAGTTTTGATACTTTGGTATGTACTTACACTCAGCTGTGTGCAGTAAAACAAACAGATAAAAGTGCTTTGTTTACATTGACTGCATACCTGCGTTTTACAACTGCAAGGAGCTGTATTTGATAAACTACCGGAGTGAACCATTTGAAGCTGAGCCAATCTGATACTGAACCATTTTTTATGTTTGACTTTTTATACTGTGCCATGACATTTTAAGAATATAATCCTGAATGTAGCATAAAATCAAGCTTGTTTTGTATGATTCCATATAAAATAAACAAAACAAAACAAATCTATTCCATTTTCAATATTAAGATTCAGCAGGTTTTTGCAAAGAAGCTAAGTGATAAATATAAATCTAAATGTCAAGTAGAATACTACACTTTAGTTGTTTTCTGAAAAGTAGTTGAAAGTGTCAGTGTTTTGACTGTAAATTGATTAAATAACTTTTTATTGTCTCTCAGTGTTTCACCATCGAGCATGTGGGCAGAAGACCTCTGATGATCGGAGGATTCCTCTTTATGGGTTTCTGCTGTGCAGGCATCACCGTGTCAGCACTTTACCAGGTACTCTTCATCTTATTGTGTGGATGTTTATGAAGCATTCACACTATTGTGATTCATTTTTCTTCCGTATATTCTTTGGTGTGATTCTCGTCCAGCAGTTTTCAAACTATTTCAGCAATTCGTATCAAAACTTTCAGCTCGTTCAGGAGAAGGGTGCTATGACTTTTGGTATTGGTGCACCTTTAGAAATATTTAGCCTTTTCTGTCATTTTTGTTTCTCATAGAAAATGAATTGAGCTCATTTTACATCCTTCAAATCTTTAGATCTGTTTATAATAATTTACTGTTCCTTTCACATGTTGTTCTGGTTCAGCTGCTTTCAGCTCCCTTGTGAAAATTTAAACTTTTGTCAGCTATTTTCAGCTGCTTTCAGCTGTTTTTTCAGCTGTTTTGTGCTCTTTTCAGATTATTTTTGCTAACTACATTTTTGTGCTTCTTCTAATTTCCTTCTGCTAATTTCAGCTTGCTGTGCTCTTTCCAGCTTATTTCTGTAAGTGTCTTTTTTTTCTACTATTTCAGCCACTAGAAACCTGTTTTATATTCATTTGAGCTTTTTCAGCTAATTCCACATTTTTGGCACTAATTTCAACTTTTTTTCAGCCTAATTCAGCAAAAATGGCCTATCTTTACTCCCTTCTTGTAATTTCAACTTATTTCTGCTTTTTTAACTACTTTTCAGCTGTTTTTGCTAATTTCAGCTGTTTTCAGATCATTTCCAATTTTTTGTGCTCATTTTTGCTTCTTTCAACCTAATTGGGCAAATTTGTTCTTTCTGCTTTCTTATACTAATTTAAGCTGGTTCTTCATTTTCAGCTACATTTTTAACTAATTTTAGATATTTTCAGGTAAATTCAAAATTTTCATGGTAATCTCTGCTACTTTCAGCCTAATTAACTTCTTTCTGCTAATTTCTGCTTGTTATGCTCCTTTAGCCTTTTTCTGCTAGTTTCAGTTATTCCAGCTAATATTTAGCTGTTTTATGCTAATTTTAGCTTCTTCAGCTAATTCCACATTTTTTGCACTGATTTCAAAAATTTCAGCTTAATTCAGCAAACGTGTCTTTTTCTGCTAATTTAAGCTTATTCTACTTTTGTTGCTAGCTTTTTTTAGCATTATTAGCTAATTTCAGCTGTTTTCAGTTAAGGTCTACTTTTTGTGCTAATTCTGCTTCTTTCAGCCTAATTAACTTATTTCTGCTCATTTGAGCTTGTTATGCTCGTTTCAGCTTTTTCTGCTATTTCAGCTATTTTTTAGCTGTTTTGTACTAAATTTAGCTATTTCAGCTAATTCCACATTTTTTAGCTCATTTCAGCTCCTTCCACTTCTGGTAGTTTAAGCTTCTTTCTGCCTTTTCAGCTATTTTTTGCTAATTTCATTCTTTATAGTTAATTTTCCAATTTTTGTGCTTATTTCTGCTCATTTAAACCTAATTCAGCAAATATGTGTTCTGCTTTCGCCTGCTAATTTAGGCTTAGTCTTCCAGTTCAACTACATTTCAGCATGTTTTTAGCTAATTTCAGCTGTTTTTCAGCACGTTCTTCAGCAATAAGTATTCACACTGCATTTTTGCAGGAAATGCAATTTCTCTAGTTTACATTTATATTATTGTATGTTACATTAACTTTCAGCTTCTTTCTTTTTTGACCAATGTTCTTAAACAGATCTACAACTACTTGCACATATTGGCTTTAGTGTTATTTTGGATGGTGAGGCCAAACTTGTGGGATGACACATCTTTTTTTGCTATTTTAAAATCTTTGCTTAAAACTTTTTTTGTATTCAATGCCCTTCATTGCTCTGATGTTAATTTTGTTGCTTTATTTTTTTCCTATTTGCCTTTTTTGAATGAACAATTGAGGGTTTATTTGCTTTATTATACTGTATTTCACTGAATTCATCTGAGAAGTTTTAAAGAACTTTATGAATAAAACTGAAACTAAATTGGAACGTTTAGGCTAAAATCCTGCGTCATGGAGCACTTGGAGAATGTGTTGTGACTGTCTCGCAGACACAACCAAATCTGAGCTCTAATTTCAACAACACCAGCTAATTTTTGTGTTTTCTTAGGTCTAAATTTCAGGTCATTGTCTGTAATATTGACTAAGTTAAGAGTTGGGTTTTTACAGGTTACTTGGCTGCGGCAGCCATCTTGAATAATCTTGAGTATAAAAGTTAATTAGTTTTAGACGTACTTTCAATAATTACATTCAAGTTTCATTAAAATTCACTCTGTGGTTCATGAGATATTTCACTAACAGACGCATAAAACCACACACTGACAAACGCATATCATCTACCCTCCACGATAAAAACAAAAATCACACACGTTTGCTTGATTGCAAATTATTTTTTGCATTTATTTAAGTTTAGTTATTCATCGTCGGCTTGTATTACTTTACTTCCCTGCTTCAGCTGTTATTTAATCATGTATAGCTATAAAATAAACATGAGCATGGCGAGGTGCAAATCATATCGTACATAAAACCTAAATGACTGACAACTAAATGAACACTCGTTGGAAACTGTCATGTGTTTATGAATCCAAACTCCTTTCAGGAGCAGTTTTCCTTTCTGAGCTACATCAGCGTGGGCTGCGTCATTGGGATCATCGCTGGGTTCTGCATCGGTCCAGGTAAACACGTCACCGAGTCCTGAACTGCAGGTGGAAACTCTAAAAGCTTGAAGTGAACCCGTTCTGCCTGTTTCTGATGTAAACTTTAAGAGCTGCTTTAACCCTTCCTCACTGAATGAGATGTATCCATTATGTATTAGAAGCTCAAAATAAAGATGCTGACATGAATATTATAGACTGCGTTAAAAACTATTTCTTGCATAATAAAATGTAACAACTACAATAAACTGTTCATATTTATATGTATTTTTACATGTTCATATACTATATGTGATAATATACTGAATAAAAACATGTGCACCCTAATAACTTAGAGTGGAAAATTATATTAGTTTGTTGCATATTTACTTGTGACTTCCTAATTTTTATTTTTTTTAAACATCCATCTTTTCAACTTTTCTCGTTTTAATCAAGTCAAAACTTTTTATTACCTTTTTTATTTTCAGCTTTTCACAAGCCTTTTGCTACTTATGCCCTTTGCTACTTTTAGCCTTTAGCCAGATTTTTGCTACTTTTAGCTTTAGCTAACGTTTCTTTATTTTTAGCTTTTTAGTAAGCCTTCATCTACTTTTAACATTTAACCATTTTTTTATACTATTTAGCTTCTAGCATCCATTCTGTTGCCGTTAGCTTTCATACATGTACCTATTAGCTAGTATTTGCTACTTTTAGCTGCTAAGTAGCTTATTGATGTTTTTCACCTAGTGTTTGTCTACTTTTACCTTTAGCTAGAGTTTTGTTACGTTTCACTTTTAATTAGCCCTTTTAAACATTCACCTTTTAGCTCACCTGTTACTTTTAGCTTTTAGCCAGCTATTTGCAACTTTTAGATACCCTTCTGCTATAGCTAACCTATTGATTCTTTTATCATTTAGCAATTTTTGCAACTTTTAGCTTCTTGGTAGCCTTTTGATTTCACCTGGTGTTTTGCTACTTTTAGCTGTAGCTGGAGATTTGTTACTTTTAGCTTTTAGTTAACCTTTTGTTATTTTAAGCTTACCTTTTGATACTTAAGCTTTTAGCCAGTATGCTGCTTATTTTAGCTTTTAGCTGACGAGCTGCTTCCTTTTAGCTATAACACGTCATGTTCACGCTGCCTTTTTTGCAGCAAATATACTTTCTGCAGTCTTTAATTCTTTTTATCAAAATTATTTGTTTTATTTGGACGTTTCATAATATCTTAATTGTCACGACTGTGTATAACTGCCCTTTTTCTGTTCAACATTTTACTTGGAAGCATTAAACATTTCTGTTGGTTTCTGGTGAGAAGACTGTGCTGAAGTTGGATTAATTAGCTAACGAGCTAACTGATGGGTCTGTTTGCTCCTTATCTTATCAAATATCACAACAATTTCATTCACAGGAAAATTGCTTTGACTAACCCATCCTGTTGTTTGTGAATATAAATATTATTCACCCTGTTCCTTCAGGTCAAAATGTCCCTGCAGAGGAATCGAAGGGCCGTATGTAGCCCTAGAGCCACACATTGCAGACCCCTAATAGACACGTGTTTAAGGTTACACTGCTCCCTGCTGGAAACCTGCACAATCGCAGGCAAACCAAACCCCAGCATCCCTCCGTGCACACTCCTCCTGCGAGCAGAAAGTGTATTTCATTAGTCTTGTAAATTAAGAAATCCTAACTGCCACACTACATCCATTCCTGTAGCCATTTGTGCGCTGGATGAGATGAGTGAGGAGGCTTTCGACGCATTCGTTTACAACTTTCGGAGCCACGTTGAGCAGACCTGTGAGGATGATGAATTGGCACAAATCCAGTTTACATAACACCATTCGTCAAGCCAGCAAAATCCATACCGCGGCACAGGAGTGAGGATTTCTGTTGCTGCAATTAGACTTTTAATGGCTCATTGTTCACAAGCTCGCCGTGATGAATCTGGCTTCCTTCGGAGGAAACCTTGCTCGCACAGTGACGCGCTCCCATACATTGTGCACATGTTGACAAATTGCGGCCTAGTTATTTGTTTGACGGTACTAAACCTTCTTCTCTGCAGCTTGCAAGCACAGATAATGAGGACATCATTCTCGAAGCTGATCATTAGAGATGCGGCTAATGCATATTTCTCCCTCGTATCCTTCACTTCTAACAATGAGGGATGTGCAAGGCAAACCCAGCGCTAATAAATCCTGCATATCAATCTAATGAATTGCACGAGTCCTGGCTAAGTTCCTCTGAATTTTTGAATGCGCTCATTCCAACTTGACAAACATCTGTTAATAACAAACATAATGAAATACATGCAGAAAAAGGAGGGTAACTTAATAGCACTTTAGCTTTTGTTATATCTTCCTTTTATCCGTTAAGCCATGAGTGGGACTATTGATGAACTAGTTGATGAATGGAGCCGCTGATGGTAAATTCACAACAGCACTGAGTGATTAAATTTGATTTGTTCTCTTAACTGGATGCTTTGTTAGATGAAGCCAATAGATTTAACTAAATCAGTGTTAGCTAAGGATTGTGTTGTCCAACTACAGCCTTTAAAATAATGTTTCTGGTTCTTCTTCACAGCCGGAGTGCCTTTCCTGATCACTGCAGAGCTCTTTAAGCAGTCCCACCGACCGTCTGCCTACACTGTTGCTGGTTGCCTCAACTGGTTGTCCAACTTCACCATTGGTTTCGTCTTTCCCTTCCTGGAGGTCAGATTTTTAACTTTCCATTGACAGCTTTTGGTACACTTTTTTTTGGGGGGGGGGGGGGGGGGGGATAAATGTATCCAACGTGCACATCACAATGTGGTGGTGTATTTGATCAATAGGAGAGAAAAACAAAATAACACAGTGGTGCAGTGGTTGGGGCTGGTACGTCGCAGCAAAAAGTGCTGAAGGATCGTCTTCTGCCTGGGGCCTTTCTGGGTGGAGGTTCTATGTTCTGTCTGTGCATGTGTGGGTTTTCTCCAGGTCCTCTGGTTCCCTCCCACAAACCAAAAACGCACTTGTGTTAAATGGAAACCCTCAGTTGTTTCTAGAGTGTGAGTGAGCGTGAGATTAGCTGTTAGTCTCGTTTGTTTTAATGTGTCCCAGTGAGAGACTGGAGACATGTCCAACGTCCCTGACCTCTCACTCAGAGACTGATGGAGATGGACACAAAGTCCTCATGACCCGGAAAGGAGTGTAAAGAAATGGAGGACGGACGGACGGTCAAAGCAGATGGTTGCTTGTCCTGAGCCTGGTTCTGCTGGAGGTTTCTTCCTGTTAAAAGGGAGCTTTTTCTTTCCACTGTTGCCATTGTCCTTGCTCAGGATGGGAGACTGTGATGAAGTGAAGATTCAATGAGTCTGCTGCTTCTTTAGATGGAGAACTTTACTTAGTGGCTTTTCTATGTATGTAAATGTTTTTGTAAAGTGCCCTGAGACAACGTTGTTGTGATTTGGCACTATATAAATAAACTGAATTGAATTCAATTGAAAGGATGGATGGATGGGAGGATGGAATGATGGATTTATGATGGAATCATGGATGGATGATACAAGGATGGGTGGATGATGTAAGGATGGATGGATGGAATGATGGAATGATGGAATTGAATTGAATTGGATGATTGATGGATGTATGATGGAATCATGGATGGATGGCTGGATGGAATCATGGATGGATGGCTGGATGGAATCATGGATGGCTGGATGGAATCATGGATGGATGGATGGAATCATGGATAGATGATGAAAGGGTGGATGGATGGATGGATGGATGAAATGATGCAAGGATAGATGGATGATGAAGGGATTGATGGAGGTATAGATGGATAGATGGATGGATAATGCAAAGATGGATAGATGATAAAAGGATGGATGGGTGCAAGGATGGATGGATGATGTAAGAATGGATGGATGGAAGGATGTTGGATGGATGGATGGACATGTTTTTACATTTATAGTTTTTCCATAATCCATTATTTTAAACCAAGAAACTTAAACATGGAGACAGTGTGTGTCTAAAGTTAAAAATATAAATTGAGACACCCCCCCCACACACCCCCCCCCACACACACACAGATGGATGGATGGATTGATTTTACACCTGTGTGTATGTAACTTGCATCGCCTTTTCTGAATATATTTATATTTCATTTATTTGTTTTAATTTTCTTGTTTTGATTTTGAACAAGAACTGAAGTTTCGATAATTTTTCTGAATTAAAAGACTGTTTTTTTTTTTATGTTACCGCCATCTGTTTATTTATTTATTTTATTCCTCCTTCATGCTTTATTTGTGAACATGAAGGTCCAGGACAGAGGATACAGGCTCTTTGGTGCCGGCTGTTAAAACTACATGAACTGAGCGTGAACTGAAGACCTAGCGTTTAATGAAGGAGTACATTTCATCCTAAATGTCTGTTTGGGTCTTAACAACGTGATCAGCGTTGCTCTCAGTGCATGATGGGAGTGATGCTCAGCTACCATCCCATCAAGCTGAATATCCGTAAAATTAACTTATAGCCATTTTGTCTGCTAATGTTGATTTGCCGGGGTGGCCATCTTGAATTGAACTGACTCCAAAAAGGTAATCAGTTGATGTTCATCCGATAATCACTTTCTGATAATTTCATTAAAATCTGTCCAGTGGTTTATGCAATATTTTACTAACAGACAACCAGGGTTGACACTAAAAGTTAAAGTAAATATCTTGTGTTGTGCAGCCATGTGTAGTCACATGTTGAGGATGACTCTAAGCTACTACGGCAAACGCATTCTAGCTGAATATCTGTAAAACTGAGTGAATTATAGTCGGGTTTGTGGTTTCTAAGTTCAGTTAGCTGTGGTGGCCATCATGACTTGGACTGGCTCCAAACATCATTAAGTTGTAGAGGCACATCCTGTTATTATTTTCTAAAAGTTTCACTGAAATCCATCCTGTGGTTCATGAAATATTTTGCTAACAGACAAATACACACAGAAGCAAATCCTGATAATTAAAGCAGTTCCAGTAAACTGTTTCAGCAGTAAACAATTTTTTGGGGTTGTTTTACTTTCAAACTATACATGCGATTAATTCACTGAGGCTTTTCTGGGTTCAGTCTAAATCCTGGTGAGTCGTGTCTGTCGTCTCTCTTCAGGGAGCCACTGGTCCTTACTGCTACCTGATCTTCTGCGCGATCTGCTGGGGAGTGGCAGTGTACGTCATCTTTATCATCCCAGAGACCAAGAACAAAACCTTCCTGGAGATCAGCCAGATGTTTGACTCCAGGAACAACGTCCTGGATGAAGAAGTGTCTTCAAACGGCCAACTGAAGATGGAGCTGGTGAAGGCCTACGGCTCGATAGGCCGCCACGATGGAAAATAAAACTGGAGCGAGGAGCTCAACTGACCTGCTGATGTTCAAAAGGATGAACTGGAACGTTTCTAATAAACGCACATGCAGACATTCAATGTTGGGGTTTTTTTTTTTTTTTTTTTCTTTTCACGTGATTAGGTAAGAGAAGTCACAATGAGAGAAGAATAATTTGCTTAAAATGAGCTATTAGACACATTTTAACCTATTTATTGCGATCTGAGAGGTTCCTGAGGGAGTTGTTTTCTCATATTTCCTTAGGTGTTTTCATTTTCTGCATCACTGTCAATCTTTTAAGTGCTGAATGCTCATTTTGTAAACTGTCAATCATTGGGTTGAAAAAGACGCCTAAACTCAAAGACACAATTTGTTCCCATTCCTTGAATTAAATTAGCAATAATACAAATACAGCAGTCCCTCGATACTTTGCGGTTCGACTTTCGCGGACTCACACTTTTGTGGGGTTTTAATATAAGATTGTACACGACACACGATTGGTGATGGGGAAAGACAGACCTCACTCCGCCCCCCTCCTTTTTTTTTCTCTGCTGTCACAGACGGCTTCAGAAAGAGAAAGGAGGGGGAGTCTCTTTCCCCATCGCTACTGTTCAGGAAGCAGAGATTAACAAATCAATTGAACAAATGTAGAATATCAGAGAAAATGCTTAGGTGGAAAAATAAGAGTGAATCGGTTTTAAAAAAGAGAGTGGCTGAGCACGGCTCACTCGATTATAAGACAGACCACCCCGACCCCGCCTTTCTCTTTCTGAGGCTGTCTGTCACAGCAGAGAAATATAAAGGAGGGGGCGGAGTGAGGGCTGTCTTTCCCCATCATGTTCCAGAGAGACACAACAGGCGGGCGTGCAAGTGGCTGAGCGCAGCTCACTCGGGTATAAAACAGATCCCACCCCCTCCTTTCTCTTTCCAAGGCTGTCTGTCATAACAGAGAAAGAGAAAGGAGGGGGCGTGGTCCTTCTTTCTCCATTGTGTCCCTGAGACACACGACAGGCGTGTGCGCAACTGACAGCCGAAAAAGAAAGGAGGGGTGGGGGTGGTGGGTGTCTGTCTTATGGCTGAGTGAGCTGCACGTACGGGCTTGTTCATTTAAAATAATCAAGTGTAACCCTAACCGAGCCTTTAGGCCCCCTAGGCGATCACTGAGCGGGCCAGGCCACCGGGAAATGTCCTGGTGCCCCCGGCAGCTTAGATGATCATCTCTTGTGTTACTGTAGGTCTTTGCTAAATTTGTTCCTATGTTTTTTTTTTAAGACAATTTTAATTTTTTTAATTATTATTTGCTGTAGATTAAGGCTTTTTAAGGAAAACTTTTCCTCGTGGACACTAAAAATTACAAGAATGTTTTGTCTCCTCTGAAGAAAATCACAATATTTTGCACAATAATTTATTCAAAGTGAAAGAAGTCCATTGAGAGCTCCTGTCTTGGTATCTCAAACTGCACGGTGTGATGAGGGAGGTAAACAACATTAATAGCACCAGTTTACAACAAATGTTGTCTCGGGGCACTATACAAACAACAAAAATGTGTCCATTCAAAATCAAATTCAGGAAAGTCCAGTTAAAATACAATACAGTCAAGTACAGACTATGAAAAACGCCAAAACGTAAGTTATGTATTTAGAGAAGGCAGCAGATTGTGTCAAATCTCCGTCACAGTCTCCCATCCTTAGCAGCACATTGGAGATGGTGGAAAGGAACGACTCCCTTTCAACAGGGAGAAACCTCCAGGAGAACTGGGCTGGAGAATGACCACCTGTCTCAACTAACTGGGGATTTTAGAGGACAAGACTGGGATACAAACACAGAAAAATTGGTCCAATTGTAGTTTCTATATGGAAAAACAAAGGTTAATGATGGCAACAGTCACAAATACAAACATGGAGAGTAGAGTGTAAAGACGTCAGCAGAGAGGAAATATGGTCTGTTTGTCCCCCAACACATTAAACCCAAGGAATGGCTCAGGAAACCCAAGCCAACCCTAACTATAGGATTTATCAAAAAGCAAAGTCTTAAAGTGAGTTTCAAACTGGAACTGGAAGTTAGTTCCACAAGCAAGGAGCCTGATATCTGAAAGTTCTGCCTCCCGTTTTAGAAACTCTAGGAACCACAAGTAAACCCTAAATATATTTATGTCACGATCCTCAATGTTGGAACCCAATTGCAGAGAGATGAGTGAGGCAGGAGTTCAAAAATAAAAATAATTTATTTTTAATACCAAAACAAAAGGGCTGTCGGTGCAGCAAAACTTACTTTTGGCAGACTGGATAAGAAACCAGGCAGAGCAGATCATCAGGGGGACAGAAACCAGACAAGGCAGAAGAGGATTGAGAATGTCTGTAAACCCAGAACAATCACCGGACAAGGAGTGCAGGAGAGACAGGCTTTTTATGAGACAGAGGGAGAGTGGGTAATGAGAGCACCTGGGCAGGTGGCTGATGAGTGACAGGTGTGAATGATAAAGAGTGAGTGGAGAGGCAGACTGAGGAGTGAGTGGAGAAGCAGACTGAGAAATGAGAGGAACATAACAGAAACAGATAAACAGAAAATCACACACAAAGCAGAACAACATAAAATAAAAAGCAGACAGAGACAGAAACTTGAAATGGAAAGAAATGATTTAGTTAGTGAGATGATTGCTTGAAGATATGAATGTTGGTTCCTGGTTGCAGCTTGAAGGAGGTGGCAGAGGCTTGGCAGATGGGGGGGCAGCGGGGGCCGCTGACCGTGACATAAGCTTGAAGGAGGT